TGCTGTACACAACATTGTAAACTGACTACACTTCAATAAAAATATATATTATATACATATATAAGTAAATAATTGTTTAAAGTAAAAAAAAATAATAAAAAAAAAATAAATAAATAAAACTGCCTTTCTCAGAGTCCAGCTGGGTTTTTACAGAAACGAATTTTCTTTTCATTTTTTTTTTTTTGACATATACTCAGTTACAATGTGTCAATATCTGGTGTATAGCATAATGTCCCAATCATACATATAAATAACTAGACTTGTTTTCATATTCTTTTTCATTAAAGGTTATTACAAGATATTGAATATAGTTCCCTGTGCTACACAGAAGACATTTGGTTTTTATCTATTTTTATATATAGTGGTTAACATTTGCAAATCTCAAACTACCAAATTGATCCCTTCCCACCCCCTTTCCCCTGGTAACCATAGGATTGTTTACTATGTCTACGAGTCTGTTTCTTTTACAGATGAGTTCATTAGCATCCTCTTTTTCCTTTTCTTTTTTTTTTTAAATTCCACATATAAGTGATATCATATAGTGTTTTTCTTTCTCTTTCTGTCTTACTTCACTTAGAATGACAATCTCCAGGTCCATCCATGTTGCTGCAAATGGCATTATGTTGTTCTTTTCTGTGGTTGAGTAGTATTCCATTGTATAACTATACCACAACTTCTTTATCCAGTCATCTTTGATGGACATTCCGGTTGCTTCCATGTCTTGGCTATTGTACATAGTTCCACTATGTACATTGGGGTGCCTGTATCTTTACAGAAACTATTTCTTAATAACAAACATAAAGAGGCAAATTTTTATTCTCTTTTTACTGATAAGGAAAATGAGGCTTTCAGAGCAAACTTAAAGTGCTTCAGAATATATAACTAATACATTCTATACTAGAATCAGAATTTGAGCCAAATTCTAGCTGAGTCCCAGCCTCTATTTTCCCATTGTATCAAAGAGTTGAAATGTCTTTCTCTCTCAATATAATTTAAACTCCTTACGTGCAGGCCGTGTGACTGAAATTGTTCTATCATTCAAAGTACTTCATCTTAATTGGTGCTCAGACATTTATTTCCATTTTTTCAAAAGCATTTACCAAACATTGTCGATATATCTGGCACTAAGATGTGTGTTAGAAATTCAATAAATAAATAAGTTCATAAATCTGGTACTATTGATCTGGAAGACCCAGACCCAACAAACTGTTAAAACCATTCTACAAACTCACCTTGGTTTCATCTGCTTTGTGATATCAAATATCTATGGAGTCTCAGACTCTGTCCTGCTTGCTGTTCTGTCTAGAAGCTTGGAGGGGGAAGATAAGCTTTTTATCCTAATCCACAATCACACTGCAATGACAGTTGACCTTTGATATTTGAGCCAATCCACATTTTATCCAATCTAACTTACATAATCCAGTCTAAATGAATGTAATCCCTATTTCGTGCATTGGATTCAGGAATCCCATTCACCCACCACACTAATTGGATTTGGGAAGGAATGCTGGGTTGTTGAGTACTTTGAAAACGTTAATCCTGGGAACTATCACACCCTTTCGTGAAAATGTAAGAGTCTCCTCCAAGGTCATTTCTCTCCATCATGCCGTAAATGCCCGTGTACCCCAGGGTTCCATTATGAGGCCTTTTCTCTTACCACTCTTTAAGTGTGAAAACATTTTTTGAAGAGCATTATTGTAATTATCTTGCCTTTGAAACACCAAAGGTGATGGTTATTGAATAAGCTTAACTGTATATGTGGGATGATTAGGTTAAAATATGGAATATGTTTTAACTTATTCTGTACTATTTTGAGTTATTGGATAAGAGGAAAAAATGTGTCAGTAGACATCAATCACAAAAATGCTTCATTTCATATATAAACCATTGTTTCACCAAGCAGATAAAATGCTGCATCATTGGATGGCCTTAATTTAGTCATCTCATAGTAACAATAAAGACTAATATTAAATAATGTCAGGCAGTGTTCTAAATATTCCACACATATTAACTCTTTAACTTTTTGCAGCAACCCTATGAGGTATATTCTATCATTAGCCTCATATTTGAGGTAAGTAAACTGAGGTACAGATAGGTACACTGTCCAAATCACAAAGGTACAAAGTGGTAAAACAAGAATTTGATCCCAGGCAGATCTGATTCCAGTAAACTTTTTTTTTCTCACAGATTTCTTAAGATATAATTGACATATAACATTGTGTAAGTTTAAGGTGGACAATGTGATAATCTGATTCACATATATATATTGTGAAATGATTACTATAATAAAGTTAATTAACACATCCATCACCTCACATAATTACTTTGTTTTGGGGTGGCGAAAGCATTTAAGGTTTACTCTCTTAGCAGCTTTCAAGTATACAATACAGTATTGTTAACTATAGTCACCATCTGGTATTAGATCCCCAGAATTTGTTTCTCTTATAGCTAGAAGTTTGTACCCTTTGACCAGTGTCTCCCCACTTCCCCCATCCCCAGTGTCCATGTTCTTAATTACTACAATACCCTGCCTGTGCACCAACTAAGAAATGTTTCCCATTTCTAATACAATGACCTTGGATGGGTGGGCCTTGTGTGTCTTTTAGCCTGGAAGACCCAAGTGGCAAGCAGAACTTTCAATTAAACAAAAAAAAAAGTCTTAGAAACTTACCCCCAGATGATTCCAGTTCATATTCTTCTCCAACAGTCTCGAGGATGCCTAGGACCATTTCTAGTCTCCTGACTTTCTACTGGAAAGGAGTACAGAGCGGCAGGGGCTCCATGCTGCCAACCTGGGATCCACCAGCGGCAGGTATTTGATCTGCTGCCGGCTATAACCATCATCCATCCAGGAGGGGCTTCGTGGTTGTTGCCAGGATCTGCTTCAGGCCCGAATAACTTCAAGCCGTGGTGATAAGTCTTGGGGAAGCCAAGGCTGAAGGTCTGTTGAGCCCAACATAGCAAAATCCTGTGATCCAGCAGAGGCTGGGATTGATGCCTAAGACTCTCTGGACTAGAATTAAAAGGAGCACAGGTACACTTTCTGAGTATCTCATGCGGCTGTTTCCCAAGAAGTGTTCTCCACGGCTCATTTTTCAGTCTGTCATCCTTCAAGCCAAGGATTTCTATCCCATCACTTCTGTCAAGAAAAACTTAAAATTTACAATCACCAAATCTCCATCTCTCAACATAGGATGACTTCGTTCACTCCCAATCTGTCCACATCTAGGTGCTCAAACTTCTGACACTCACCAGGATTCTTCTTGAGAAACGTGGGGCAATACACCTAGGGACTTTTCCAACCTGTCCGAGTACGTTACCCAGGTGATGCTCACGCGGCGTGATCTGAGCACTGAGCACTGCGCGTGTGCGTAGACCGCCCTTGGCCTGCTCAAGTCCCTCTGTGCCGCAAGGGATCCTGCTCTGAGGCTGTGACACAGTCCGGCGGGGCGGTGTCATCTTGACAGGGCCATCCTCCAGGGGGTGCTGCGCACAACGCAACAGCCCTGACACTCGCACCTTCTGCTCCACTGTGATGAAGGCGGTGGCTGCCTGGGAGAAGGAGCCACTGACTGCTTGTGTGGGGATGTGTAGGGATGAAGAGCCTGAGCTGCTCTGCCAAGGCTGGAAACTGGGAGTAGGAGGTACTTGTACAAGCGAATGAAACTATAGACGAACCACCCTCCCCCTAAACGGCTTTCAACATTTTGTTGGTTTTGCTTTGTTTTGTTTGCACGAGAGATGCCACCTTAGGCCTACATGTTGAAGACGGCATTACTCAGCCTCTGGTACCATCGATTACAAGTCTATGACAATGTAATCAACGGGACAAAAAATAAGACTTTTATATTGGTCTGGAATTGGCACTGACTCTTACATTTTAATTTTACTTTTAAAATTATTTTTAAAACTTTTAATTTCATCATGATTACAGATTCACTGGAAGTTGCAAAAATAGCATATGAAGAGGTGAACCTCTCACCCTATCCCCAATAATGACATATACTGTTCAATATCAAAACTATGAAATTGACATTGTGCAATACTGTTAACCAGGCTGCATACCTTACTCCATTTTGCTATTGTATTATAGTTATACAAAATATCGCCTTTGAGGGAAACTGAGTAAAGCAATACATGAGACTTCCCTATACATTTACTTGCAACTTAATATGAATCTATAATTATGTCAAAATAAAGTTTTTTTTAAATGTAGGTCAAATACAAATTTTACAATTGAATTTATAGAATTATTTAAACCAAATGATAATCAAAATAAAATGTAAGAAATAAATGGGATGAAATAAAGCTTATAGGGACATTTATAGTCATAAATACACATTACATTACACACATAGGAAAGTATGGTTTTTATCTTGTTCAGATTTTCTTGCTAGCATGGGAGTGAACACCTTTCATATTCTATATTCTAATTCCGATGAAAGTTGAAATTCTGTGACTGTTTTAACAAGCCCCTGCCTTACCACCTCCCACTACATCTTCATACTAAAATACATGGCAATGATTGGATTCGTTGGCTATGATTTAAAGACTCTTCAATGAGAAGTAGACAGGGTATAAATGGATGAATGCAGTGATGCTGCAGGAGGTAGGTTACTCAAGTTTATTTATTAAATACATCTCATTCTGTCAAATATTGATAATAGAAGAAGGCTTTTGAGGCTTGATAATATATTTTCATTTATAGTGCTTTAGTTATTTAAACTCTAGAAATTCTATGTAAATTAGCTTGTGCTGTATTCCAAGAATCCCTTGCTATCCAAATCTATTTGTTTCCCAAGTTCAGATACTAAGGAATACTATGTTCACTAAATCATTTTGATTTCCAAGCTTCAGAAATTGGGTAGCAAATCTGTATAAGGATTTATTAGAAGTGTTTTGTTCCGAGGTGCGGAGATTGCCAAGATGGTGTAGAAGGACACGTAGCTCACCCTTTCCCACAAACACATCAAAAACTACATCTGCATACGGAGCAATTCACACAGAACACCTACTGAACTTCGGCAGAATATCTCTTACATTGGAAATACAAAGAATCCTTATAAAACCAGGTAGGAGAAAAAAAAGAAAAAGAAAAGGGAAATTGATACAGGACCTGTCCCCCAGGGGGAGGAAGCAACAAAGGAGGAGAAGTGCTCTCACCCTGGGAAGCCCCCTCTCCAGGGGGCAGGTCAGCTGGGACAGGAAGGGAGATTCAGAGGCTCGGAAGAGAAAGTAGCAGCTGCTTGGCAGAAGTGAGAGAAACCAGTACAGAGGATAAACAATAGTTTTTCTACTGTACAGCACAGGGAACTACATTCAGTATCTTGTAGTAACCTATAATGAAAAGGAACATATGTATGTGTATGTATGACTGAAACATTATGCTGTACACCAGAAATTGACACATTGTAAACTGACTATACTTCAACCAAAAAAAATTTTTTTTTATGTTTTGTTCCAAAACTCAGATTGTGACAAATATTTATTTCAATAGATCACTAGATTCGATTTGCTAATATTTAACATTGCATTATTTTCATATCTGATTCTGGGCAGATTGCCTGCTTGCGTTCTCCTAGCAAGTTTTATCATTAGAATTATGACAGATTCATAAAAACAGGTAACTTGCTACCTCAGCCTACATCCTGGAAGAGTTCCTGAAACATTTCATAGTTTGACCTATAAATATATCTAACTTGGTATCGTTAGTGTTGCTGTGTGACATTTAAAGTATTTTTTGGTTTAACTTTCAAATGTTCCTTTCAGAGAGGCATCTATTAAGATTTTACATTTCTTCTCTAGTGAATTCTGATATCAAGCCAATCCAATTTCTTTATAAAAATCACACATGCTCTGTCCAGATTTATTATAAAAGTGTCTCTAGTACTTACTTTTCAGTTTTCAGGTTGAGAGAAAATTAATATACTGTAAGAATCACCTTTTAAAAGTATTTCTGTTCAGCAGTTTTTAATATATTCACAAGGTTGTGCAACCTACACCACTAACCCTAGAACATTTTAATCACTAAAAAAGATAACCTTTTAAATTTAAATATGCAGTTATTTTGATTTCTCATTCACAGAGCTGTTTATTTATCATCTGTACTTCCCCACCTGAGTCACTAGTTTGTCTACTTTTTTCAAATAATAAAATTTTCTAGACTGTTTACTTTCTTCTGTCATTTATTTCTGCATTGTATAACTAATAATGCCTTTCTCTATCCACTTTTTAGATTTATTTTTGCTAGTTTTAGCTCTTTGGGTTCTATATTGATTTTTATTAATGATCTTTCTAGTATTCTAATGTATGCATGAATATTGGGTTATAAAACTTCCAATACAACTTTGGCTGCCAGTCAGACAGGTTTTTCATTTGTGTTCTCATATTCACTCACATTTAAATAACATGTATGTCAAGGATTTAGTTCCTTAACCCATGTTAATCAAGAGAAGACCCTGAATTAATACTCAGATATTTGCTGGATGTCCTTTTGTTACTGTCTCTCCTCCATTCTGGTCGAAGAATGTGGCCTGTATATTTTTTGCTTTGTGGGGAGCCAGTGACTAGGAAAAATATTCTCATCTCTTCCTGCTTATTTGACAGCTGTACTTTCGACTACCCATCATTATCTCCACAGGGTTTCAGACAGGCATTAATCTTTGTGCAGCATAAAAAGTGAAGTTTGAATGTAGACTACCCACACATACTTCTTCTTTCCCTTTTGAAATTCCATGTTGAATAATGAGTGATGGGAAAAGCTTTCCTATCTTCATTAACTCCCATTTCTCTTTTTCCATTATGAATTCTTTGATTTAGACAAAGGTAAACAACATGGTTAAAATCCTTTCCACAAACATAATGAAGACAATTATGAAAATATGTGTATCAATGATAATAGTGGACAACTTTTACTAAACATTTACTACATGATAGGAATAGTTCTAAGCACTTTATTAATTCATGGCACCCTCACAACAAACCAATACATAATGGCAGGATTACATGTACTAAGACATAAAAAAAAGTTACTAAAATATACAAGTAAAAAATAAAAACAATTCTAGAAGGATAAATAATATTGGTAACAGTGGTTAGTTACTTTCTAGTATGAGGACTGCAGTTAGGGTTGATGAAAAGGAACAAAACAGTTTATGAAGAGAAAATGTGGATACTTTCAGCAATTAAAATAGATGTTATAAAAGGAAAAAAGCAAGCATCCAAAGATAAATGTTGGTTCATATTAATCACTGCATATAATGACAAATAATTAGATGCAAACATAACATGAAAAATAAGGTCATTTTTAAAAGTCATTCAATATATCAATAAAAATAATAAAAATCTATATTTACTGAAGTGGCAATAATACTTTCTGGCACTATAAAAGCAGATGAAAGTACAACATAAGTACCATGAGTATATTTTCTTTAAAACCAAACAAAGTCTGGTAGGACTTGCTCTACCAACTTGAGAGTAGTCATCTGTAGTTGGTATGATTACAATTAATCTTGGCTTTTCAGTTTCTTGTTTTCTGATATTCTGTTTTATAACAAGAAAATATAAATTTGTGAAATGAAACAAAAAAATTAACAGACTCAAAAACAGTTATAATTCTATAAGGAATTAAAAAGTACAAGGTCATACAATTTAAACAGTATGATGTTGGTATAAGCACAAATATGTAGATCAGAGAAGAAAGAGTAGCCCTGAAACTCAAGCAAATATAAACAGGAATATAACATATCACCCAGAAGGTAGAACAAAATAATAGGGAAGAAAAGAATTATTGAACAGCCATTAGCAAGTTGGGGGGCTGGAGAAAAAGGGTGGACAAGTGTCAATTTAGAATCTGAATTCACAACTTTGAGTAAGATAGATCTGGATTAAAAAGAGAAATAAAATTAAGAAACAAAAAATAGTGAAAGAAGGTAACTATCAAGCATTATTTTTGTTTGAGTAAAATATCAGGAAGGCGACAAGAGCTTTAACTTTAACTATTCATCAGTATGAATTCCCTGATGACGAATGAGGTCTGAGCCACTACTAAAGGCCTTCCCACATTCCTTACAGTTATAGGGTTTTTCACCAGTATGAATTCTGAGATGTCGAGTAAGGTTTGAGCATTTATTAAAGGCCTTTCCACATTCATTACATTCATATGGCTTTTCATCTGTATGGATTCTCTGATGTTGAAAAAGTTGTGAGTTCTGAGTAAAGGCCTTCCCACATTCAAGACATTCAAAAGGTTTCTCACCAGCATGAATTCTCTGATGCTGACGGAGCTGTGAGCTCTGAGTGAAGGCCTTCCCACATTCCTTACAATCATAGGGTTTCTCCCCGGTGTGAATTCTCTGATGATTAGTAAGTGCTGAGCCACTGCTAAAGGCTTTGCCACATTCTTTGCACTCATAGGGTTTCTCACCTGTGTGAATTCTCTGATGCTGAACAAGCTTTGAGCTCTGAGTGAAAGCTTTCCCACATTCCTTACATTCATAGGGTTTCTCACCGGTATGAATTCTCACATGTTGAAAAAGTTGTGAGCTCTTAGTAAAGGCTTTCCCACATACTTTACATTCATAAGGCTTTTCCCCAGTGTGAATTCTCTGATGGTCAATAAGATTTGAGCAATAACTAAAGGCCTTTCCGCATTCCTTACATTCATAGGGTTTCTTACCAGTATGAATTCTTTGATGTTGAGAAAGGTATGAGCTACAACTGAAGGCCTTTCCACATTCTTTACATTCAAAGGGTTTTTCACCAGTATGAATTTTCAGATGTCGAGTAACATGTGAGCCACAGCTAAAAAATTTCCCACACTCCTTACATTCGTAAGATTTTTCGCCAATATGAATTCTCTGATGTTGAAGAAACTGTGAATTCTGACTAAAGACCTTTCCACATTTCTTACATTCATAGGGTTTCTCTTCATTGTTAATTATTTGATGTAGAGTAAAGAATGTCTGTTGAATAAATGTAGGCATGTATTCATGAGTGAATATCTCTTGGCCAAAATGCCCATTTTGATATCCCAGTTGTCTTTCAAAGTGGCTTCTATATTCTAGAACATCTCTAAAGTTGGCGTATTCAAGGCCATGCTTGGTAAGTCTCATTATCTCCCTCTGGCATGATTCTAGTTCATAAACTTCCTTCTTAAGCGACAGTAACTTGGTTTCACACATTGATTCCAGATCTGTAAGAAAAAGAAATGGTAAATATTCTTCCCCTATCCCACTTGTGAAAAGTTAAACTTTTATAATAGAAATGGAAACATTAAAGTGAAAATCATATCTGGTCATAAATAACACACAGTTCTCAAGTGTATCTGTTTAATCTGAAAAAATGGAGAAGAAATGCATAGAAATTACTGAGCTATAATGCAGGAAGCAGAGGGAGGAGACTATGGAAACGGAACCACAATGATTCTCAGATACTGACATGGATCAGAATCATCTGGAAAGGCTGGTAACTCCTCAATGCTTCAGCATACAACTCTTCAGATGACTTGTTATATGTTTTATATACATCTATATATATAAGATAAGCTTGTATTTGTATTTAAGAAACAGAGTATATCACACTATATGTATTACAGAAACTGGATAATTTTTTACCACCATGAAAGGTCTCCTGAGAGGAATAAATGCACACAGGGGAAGATTCTTGGGCTCTATGGTATAAGATACACATTTGGTCTTTGTCCTCAGCAACTAAAAGAGCTTCAAAAAGCCTTGGAATTTCCTGAGTGATGGTGGTGGTTTGTTATGCTAATGAGGCGACTCACGGTGTGGTGTGTCCCTTGATAGTTTTAGGATGGGGACTGGTCACTAGAAAGACCCAGCATATGGTTAGAGGGTTGGGACTTTCAGCTACTTGACCTCTGGGGAGGAGAGAGAGGCCAGGGACTGAGTGGCCAATGACTTAATCAATCATGCCGATGTATTTCGGCCCCAATAAAAACTCTGGATACCAAAGCTCAGTAGAGCTTTCTGGTTGGTGAACACATTAATGTGCTTAAGGGGGTGACATACTTTGACTCCACAGACCACAGAGACAGGGTGTGGAACCTCTGCATCTGGAAGCCTACCAGAACTTGCCTGATATGATTTCTTCATAGTAAAATTGCAATTTCAAGTGTAGAGCTTTCCTGAGTTCTGTGAATCATTCTAGCAAATTATTGAGCCCGAGGGGGCCATGGAAATCCCTGCATCTTTTAAAGCCAGTTGGTCAGAAGTGTGGGTGGTCTAAGGACCCCCTGAGACTTGCAGCTTGTGCCAGAAGTGAGGGCAGTCTTGTGCAGGACTGGCTGCTAACCTGTGGGGTCTATGCTAACTCTGGGTAGTCAGTGTCAGAATTAAACCACAGCACACTCAGCTGAGGTGAAAACAGAACAGGGTCCACAATAAAGGCTATGTTGGATGCAGTTTGAAAGAGATTACGGAGGGTTAGCCACATGGGGGAATAACCTGAGATCAGTCTAAGGTACAGAACTAATCTGATGTGAGTGGCAGACAGGGAAGACTCAGAATATGCTATATGCTGGGGATTCCGGGAAAATACTGTTTGCTTGGAATTTTGTGATGCTGATCTTGGGAGAAGAGAGAGACTTGATCATGTAGCATTGTAGTGGCTGTGATGGGAGGCAGATGGAGTTTAAGACAGACAAGTTAAAACAGACATGGAGCGAGATACTGCCGAGGAAAGATGACAGGAGTCAGAAGCAGACTGATGACAGCTGAGTTTCCAACACTGACAGTTCCTACAGGTTCCCAGGCAATTATCTAACCTTTCTAGGCCCCATTTCTTCATCTGTAAAAGGGAGATAATCCTTAATTCATGATTATGGGAAGGGTGAGGAAAAGTGTAAGGAGATGTCTTTCAGTATTTGATAGCTAACATTATGAAAGAATTGATCAAAAATAGAGATATTAGGCAAATTAAATAATTTCAAGACATCAAAATGGAGCCTACTGGACATCTCAAGCCAGAAACAGGGACTTCATTCCAGCATACTCTTTTTTCTCCTACCTCCATAGGATCTTTCAGCAACTTTCATCTATCTAAGCTCCTCAGCAACTTTTTAAAACTGTCCTTGTCTATCTCCACTGCCAATACCCTCCTCCAAACCAGAATCATCTCTTACTCAGACGACTCAAGGAGCCTCCTAAGCCAGTCTCTCCACCAAGTTCTCAAACTCTTTAATGTATTCAGGGACTAAAATGACATTTGGCCTGGGCTTCCACTGTTCAAAATCCAAACTCCTTATAATCTCTGGCAAAGGCTGAACGGCGTGGTTCCCACTTGTCTCTCCAACCTCGACTCATATTCCACTCTCACTTGCTCAGGGGGCCCAGCAACACTGGCCTTCTTTCAGTTCTTCAAACACACCAAGCTTTCCCCTCCCGGAAGGGCCTTCATAGGGGTTCTTCCCCCTGCCTGGAGTTTTCTTCTTCTTTAGCACATTAAATAGTTTTATTAGCACAAAAACCTAGTGGTGAGCCTGGCATTAAAATCATTCTGAAATAGTCATGAGCACAAATGACATTTCAGGATGTCTACAAGTATAGTAAAATGATACAAAAATATCTGTGATTTCCATTCACATCAAAGTCACAAGAACTAAATACTACTACAGTTTGTTGCATACACCATAACAGGAAGAAATGCAAAATTTCAATTAGGGGTGACTAAATATAAAGATGCACCTTTTCTTCTTATCCAAGTTCGTGAATTCCCTAAATCCTATCCAAAGGAATCCAATATTAGCAACCTGAGTTGGAGAGATCCTTTAAAAAGATGACGTCACACTCCCCTGCTCAAATCATCTCATTCAGAATAGAATGGCTTTATGTCTCATTCAGAATAGAATTCAAAGCCCATACCAAGGCCACCAGGACCCAGAATCATCTGCAGGTACACTCTTCCTCCTGCCTGCACTCAGCCCAGACACAGAGACACCCTGAGACTTTGCTGGCCCTTTTCACACAATTCCCGCCTTGCTCACTCTGCTCCAGCCACAAGGGTAAGGGCCAAAAAGCTCCCAACTCAGGGACTTTGATCTTCCTGTTCCTTTTGCTTGAATCTCGTCTAACAGATATTTACATTACTTGTTCCCTCACTTCCTTCAGGTCTTGAGTAAAACACCACGTCTTCAGATGGGCCTTCTCCACCTCCCTTCATAGCACTTATCACCAGCTGGTATTTTTTTCCTCTCTCATCCTCTAGAATATAGACTTCAGAAGAACAGAGCTTTGTTTTGTTCAATCCTGTAATCGCAGCATCAGGACCAACGTTTAGTACATAGCAGAGTTTCAGTAAGAACTCCCCAGGTCACCCTGCTCTATACCAGATCTCTGCTCCTCTGCCACCTCTGCCTTCCCCACCTAGGCTGAGAGCTTTCTGTTTTTCCCAACATTGTCACTACAGACGGTGACTGCCATTACTTGCAAGGCTCCAACTGCTATTTCAGTATGAATTCATTCTACTTCTGCATACTTAGCCCCTGACTTTCTGCTAAGATCCCTGTCAATTTCTTTTACTAGATTCTACTCTGTGAAAGCTGTTCACGGGTATATTTTGGCACCATTGTTTGGCTCCCAGTTCTTAATGGCTGACACAATTAGCAAACTGCAGCATACGGCAGACTTTGTTCCACAAATTTAGGAAACCAAAAATACTGGAGAAAGGAAAAATGCACAACAAACTGAAAAAAT